TAACTCATAAATCGTAAATTCTTATTTTTATTGTAGTAAACTAGTAACTTAGTTTTTCTTTATTCAATTTTGTGATTTTGTAATTTTGTTAATTTAATTAAATAATGACTAATTGATTCTAATATCATTTTTGTTTCTAAAATAGGCGTGTTTGTTTGGTTTGCCATTTTTGTGCGGGAAATAATGGTATTTTTTTAATTGTTAGTTCATTTAGTTATTTAATGGACTAAGAGTCAAGACTGTGTTTTTGCTTGAAGAACGAATGCAAATACAATTTTAGTTATAATTTTTAACTTTTAGAGTTTACGGACCCAAAATATATCCAATTATTCATTTATTCTTAATTGTTTTATGGTGGCATTTTGATTCAACCACGAGGCGTTATAACATCTTTTTATATTTCCAGCCTTGACCAATACACATTGAAGATTGTGGAAAGAATATTAGTAATAAAACTATATAAAACGGTTAACATTCAATTTCTAGTTTTAATAGTATAATTTTTAGTTTGTATGGTATGAGTTAAATAAAAAATGTATGGATATGAGTTTCTAAATGAAAATATCATTAGTGACATTTGGATAAGTTTACGGTTTCGGTTTAGATATAGGGGCATTGTTAAGCTTCTTTGCCCAGGGTATCAAAAACCTATGGACCGGCCCTGCACGTAATTTATATAAAATACTTCATATATATGTGTAAGATGAAAGTAACTATGCACTCACCTGATAAGGTCGTGACTCGGTACTCGGACAACACTTTGTTTACTTTATACAACTCCTTTGACAGAACCTAATATCATTACCACTAGAGTTTAGTCTAATATTCGCCGAGACTAATTAATAGTCTAACTATTATTACTATTATATAAGCGTTAAACAATACTCTTCACCCACTATGTACAGACAGGGTCCAAACATAAAACACCGGAGGGCAAGACCATTTTGGCATATAGCACTTCTGAATTCCAACAACCCTATGCGGCCCTTTAAACCATATTCCCTGTACCGCGAGTGGTTAAAAAAAGATATTATAACGACACTTATATAACTCATAATAATAGCCCAAATAATTATTATAAGGTCCTAATAACGTTACTATAATTAATTAAAAGCTATATTAAAAATAGCGTAGGCGTAGCTCACTTACAGCGGGTTTTCTCGAAAATCGGGTTTCGCTTGGAGCAGCGTTTCCGAGCCGAAAGGCTCCTTTTCTCGGGACTTCGGGAGCCTCGGGGCTTCCTTCGGGTGCTAGGGGGTTTACCTAGGCTTTTAGGGGGTTTTGGCCTTTTGGGGGGTTAGAGAGAGAGTTTAGAGAGAGAAAGAGAGGGTAAAAGGTGTGAGGAATGAGCTTCCCCGACCCTTTATTTATAGGCTATATGGGTAGAATTCATGTCGTGAAACTTCAATTCACGTCGTGAACATGCGTAGGCTCCAAGGCTTCGCCTGGTGCTGACACGTGGCATCGCACACAGGGTGGAAATCAACCGATTTTCAAAAATTCATAACTTTCGCATACGAGCTCCGTAAAATTCATAACTTCTACATACAGACTCCATTTTCGTTTGTCTTTTTACCGTTGAGTTCCTATTAATGAGATCTTCAACTCTCATTTAGGTCGCATAGGCCAAAAACCGCTCGATCTAAAATTCGAGTTTCGGGTCGTGCACTTCTGTGCCAAATCTTAGAAAATTCATAACTTTCTCATACGAAGTCAGATTTGGGCGTTCTTTTTTTGCATGTTCTCGGTTTAACGTATAAGTGTACTTTTGTTTAGATCACTAAGGCTAAAAAGTCATCTATCATAAATTCACTATTTACGTCTTCCCGGTGCCGTGTCGGTTCCGTCGCGAAATTTCGACGGGTCATAACTTCTTCGTTATAACTCGGATTTCGGCGTTCTTTATATCTCAGGAATCCTTGTTTCGACCACTACAACTTTATGTAAAGATATCGGATTTATCTCACACTTTAATTTTGACGCTTATTTTTATCCTTTATTTATTATACATTTATAAATAAGTAATAAGCACATAAATGCACATAATTCACATAATACTCAAATAATTCATCTTTATTACTTCAAAAAAGGTTACAATAGTTGACATAGACTATTACATCATCTACTACTGCTTAGCCCTGAAACACGGGCGTTACAAAAATACTATGTTAGGCTAAAAAGCCTAGTGAGATACATATGTGTCGAAACTCTTAAATAAAGCAAATTAAAGAAAATAAGTTCATAACAACATTAGTCATAATGAGTTCATCTTTAACAATCACAAGTCTTTTTATATTCTAGTCCTCTTACCATCTTAAGTCTTACTCCTTTCGTCTTGACGGTACGGGGGAGCCACCTATCATTATTTATCACAACTTACAGTAAATGGCTTCAAGTATACCATAAAACATGCCAACATGCGATTAATTGCTTGAATCACAGGACCGATCAACATTTCGGGCTCTAAAAGTTGATCGAATTCTTTAAGAGCCGAATAGATCGGAGACCCATATCGTTTCATGAATATATGTTGGTTGTAAAAAGTTGCTCAGATTTTGTTATTTTATAGGAGAATGCATGTACTATAATGCATGATATTATCTAATCGTAATCAAATTAATTTAGATTTTCTTACGTGCTTCAAAATTTGTTTAATTAATATTAGAAGTATTCCATATTAAATAATATAAAAATCATTATTTTTAAAAGTTAAAGCTTAAAGTAATTATAAATATATGGAAATATGTTGATGATGGATTGCATTGAAAATATTATAGGTTAATATACTTATATATGGTGGTTATAGCTTATTTTTTTATTAACACCAAAAGGAAAGACGATATATTAAGAAAGACGAATCATCCGGATTTTATGCTCTGTGAATTTAAAAGAATAGAAGGGTAAAATCGATAAAATTATGGGTTGGAAAGATCCCACATGTCATAATCATAATATATTAATAATGATTCCTTTATTAGGTATGAATGAATATATTATCGATTCTATTGTTTGTATTTTGGGCTTCTACATGTATATCATTTCCATTCTTTGTTTTTTGGGCTTCATAAGTAATGGACCGATCCAATATTAATGACTTTATTTTTTCCTATCTCTTGTTTTATTTATTTATTTATTTATTTATTAATAATCTATTTTAAAGGTAGCGTTTACACAAAATAGAAGAGTTTGGGGTAAGATTTTTCAATTCGTTTAATTAAAAAGCGAAACGACATAAAAATTAAATGAGTAAAATTAAACTTATGAATTTCAACTTGAATATGGATCGAAACGGATAAGTTCGTTTACACAGAAGTTTTGTGAATAATATACATAAACTAGAAAGATCCAAAACCAAATAATATGTAAAAGAAAAACTTTGGCTTAGCCCCCGTTTGATAGACATATTTTCAGGTCCAAATAGATCTTTCTGGCTGAATGGACCGGAAAGACTGTTTGATATGCACAAAAAATAGGTATTTTCCGGTAAGATATATCTTTTCCAGAAAGCTCTAAAACCATATCTTTTTTGGCATAATAGGTTGAAAAGACAATTATGCCCCAAACTCTGTTTCTTTCTTTCTTGGAATATTAATTTCTTTTAAATGATTTTTTTAATTTCTTTTTTATTTGATTATTATATATTGATAAATATTACTTTTAATATATAATATTTATCTATTAATTAATATTATTTTTATTGGATTATTAATTTATTTTAAATAATTTTTTTAAATTTCTTTTTAATGGATTAATTCTTTTTATTGGATTATTATATATTAAAAAATATTATTTATAAATATATAATATTTATATATTAATAAATATTACTTTATTGGATTATTAGTTTTTTTAGGTAATTTTTTAATTCATTTTTATTGGATTAATTCTTATTTTTTTGGACAACACCACCATCATCCTAATATATTTTTTAAAATTCATCAATCCCACCACTATTAGACAAACCGGGTCAAGAATCACATGTTGAGTTATAAAATAAATTAAAATTGTTAGAAAAAATAACAACGTAACATCAACTTGAAAAAAAAACAATTTAATCGACATTCTATTTGGATTTTTAAATGATTATTGTGTAATTTTGATTTTGTATGACAATTTGTATATTTTTATAATTATTCAGCAACTTCATCCATCATAGTATATACTAACATGGTAATATTATCATTTTTCATCATTTAGCACAGTCAATTAGATGTACAATCAAACAACATGACTTCTTTCCCAGTCAAAATACTTTCCGATACAACAATTTCCCAGACAACACTTTCCCGGACATAAACTATCAAACAAGACCTTAGTCAATGTGGAAACTAATTGACTTTATTTTCAGTTTTTCGGCTCTTCCTTAAACTATAAAACGCCCTCAACTACTACTTTCTTCTCATGATCCCTCCCCCGCTCCCTAACTCCTTTTTTTTTCCCTTTAAACTAGGGATGTAAATGAGAGCAAACGGGACGTGGAGTGCATCCCCACGAAAACGGGTCCTACGATACTTTTTGACATCCCTACTTTAAACTTACTATGAATTTAACTATTTTGCATCCCAACTACTAGTTTTTCCGGTATTTACTAGTTGAGAGATTAAAACTTTAAACATGTGAGAAAGATTTGGACAAAAGTAATTAAATGAGTTGAGTAAGGGGGTGTTTGGCTTAGCTTTTTAGGGTGTAAAAGTCATTTTTGGAAAAGTTACAAAAAGTCAGGTTTTCTGACTTTTCCAAAAAGTTCATTTTTACTTGTATCCAAATCTAAAAATAGCTTTTAAGATGCATTTGCCAAAATCTCTGGATTTTTATCTATTTTTTAATCCGAGGGACAAAAACATCATTTGAAACACTCCACAGTCTATAGAACTTGATAATTAAACAAGTTCAACGATTCACGACAGATATATCTATTTTATAATCGGAGGGACAAAAACGTCATTTGGAACACTCCACAGTCTACATATCACATTGACAAAAGAGCGGGAAAACTTTAGCAGCCATTTCTCCCTCTCATTTTCATCCCCGCCCCAAATCCGCCTTCATCGAGGGTTCTTTACATCTATCTACGGTGTAATATCCAGATCTCTTTACGCGATTAACTGTAACACTTCTCCAAAAATGAACGGCGATAATCGAAGAAGAGCAGACCGCAAAGACACAAGGATTTCAAAGAAGCAGAAACTCATTCTATCGACCGAAGAAAAGCTCGAGACCAAGCTCGGCTTTGATCTATTCACCGAAGGAGAAAAGCGCCTCGGCTGGCTACTCACATTTTCTACTGTAAGCTCATACAGTTCTGTTTTCCTGAAATCATTTCTGAATTGAAGCATGGTTGGACCTCATTGACTCGATTTCATTTTTCTATATAGTCATCGTGGGAGGACCAAGATACGCAGAGAGAATATAGCTGTGTCGATCTATATTTCGTTTGCCAGGTGAATTTTTTATATAATTGATTTTTTGCCCTAATGTAATGGAAGTGATATTTAATCTCTAATTGATGGTGATAATAGGATGGTTCGACTTTTAAAGCCAAGTACAAGTTCAGACCTTATTTTTATGCTGCTACGAAGGTATGCCTATATGGAAATGGTCTTTGCTCCGAGGCTATAACTTGAGACATATGCTAAATCAATCATTGAGCCATGCCATTTCATTTAATTGTTCTAAATTTCGTGCTGTTTAAACTTATAGGATAAGATGGAAATGGATGTTGATGCATATTTAAGAAGAAGATATGAAGGGAAAGTTGCTGATATTCAAATAGTAGAGAAAGAGGACCTTGATCTTGTAAGTCATTGTATTATGCTCTATATTTGTCTGTCTATTGTCTTTTTTCCTATGCTAGCTGATGATACTTATGTATCTTGTTTTTGTTTGAGTAATTATTGATTCCCTTAATCAACCCATGTTGCAAAAACTATACAAATAATTTATTCGATGCTAATGGCAGAAAAACCATCTTTCTGGATTGAGGAAAACTTACTTAAAGATATCATTTGACACTGTACAACAATTGATGGAGGTAAAGCGTGACCTGATGCACGTGGTTGAAAGAAATCAAGAAAAGTTTAATGCTTCAGAGGCATATGAGTCCATAATGTCAGGAAAAAGGTATGCATTTCATGATGGAAAGTCAGACTGTAGCAATTGCAAAATCATTAATCTTTCAAATTAAATAAGTTGCTGACCTGATTGGTTGACTTTACAGCAAAGAACGAATTCAAGATTTTATAGATTGCATCTCTGATCTACGGGAGTATGATGTGCCTTATCATGTTCGTTTTGCCATTGATAATGGTGAAAACTTTATCTTATAATAAACTTCTTCTATATCATATCATTGTTTTATAAAATGTAACACATCTCACTTTATCTTACTCTTGATGATACTTTTCAGATGTAAGATCCGGATTGTGGTATGATGTTAGTGTGTCAAGTGATGGAGTTAAGTTAGAAAGGAGGCATGATCTCCTGCAGCGTGCTGAAGTTCATGTCTGTGCATTTGACATAGAGACAACAAAGCTTCCTTTAAAATTTCCAGATGCTGAATATGATTTAGTTATGATGATTTCATACATGGTTGATGGAAAAGGATATTTGATTATTAATAGAGAGGTAGGTACAATAAACACATCACTATTTTTGATTTTTTTTTTCTGATGTATGTTATTCACTATAATGTTTTGTTACAGTGTGTTGGTGAAGATATAGAGGATTTGGAATATACACCGAAGGCTGAATTTGAAGGATACTTTAAAGTGACAAATGTGAAGAATGAGGTGTGATTTCTGAATATTCCTTCAGATTTTATTTATCTGGTACCTGATATGCATCCTTTGATTCAAGAATTTAATCTCTCTTTGCAGGAAGAACTTATCAAATCATGGTTTGCTCATATGGCAGAGGTGAAACCTGGTATTTATGTCACATACAATGGTGACTTTTTTGATTGGCCATTCATGGAAAGAAGGGCAGCTCATCATGGCCTGATAATGAAGGATGTATGTCAATGTTAAATTCTCAAGTTATCTATTTGAAGGCCAATTTAAAATATACTAGAATAATGATTGTTATTATTATTTATTGCTCAATTTTTTTTGGGTGCAGGAGCTAGGGTTTCAATGTGACACAGTGCAAGGTGAATGTCGTGCTAAATTTGCATGTCATCTGGATTGTTTTGCATGGGTCAAACGTGATAGTTATCTACCTCAAGGAAGCCATGGTTTGAAGGTAATTATTATTATCATTATTATAATATATTTCAGTATTCAAATATTGTTCAAATTTACAACTGAATTTACCCTCTACTATGATATCAGGCTGTCACTAAAGCCAAATTGGGCTATGATCCATTGGAGGTAAATCCTGAAGATATGGTTCGTTTTGCAATGGAAAAACCACAGGTATACATTTGTAGAAATAACATATTTCTATGGTGCATTTTAAGTTTTCTAGAACAATTCTTATATGTTCCATTTTCGGAAAAATAAAAACTTGGTTTATTTCAGACGATGGCTTCATATTCAGTATCTGATGCTGTGTCAACATACTACTTGTATATGACATATGTTCATCCCTTCATTTTCTCCCTTGCAACTATAATACCAATGCCTCCTGATGAAGTCTTGCGTAAAGGAAGTGGGACCCTCTGTGAAATGCTTCTCATGGTTGAGGTATGTGGTTTGGACATATTATATACATGTAAATTGCAGGAAATATTAATTTGCTTTTTTCTTTTTACAATATATGCAACATACTGTATTTTTTTGTCCATAATAGCAATGTACTTCTATTTTCTTATAATAGTACATTGTCCATATTGGTAAGGAGAGTAAAGTATGCTGCTATTATTCATAATTTGCTCTATTTTATAATATCACCTTATGTGAGCTCTATACATCAAAGAACACTTTCTTTTTATACATAATTTTGGTGTTAATGTACATGCAGGCATACGTGGCAAATGTTGTATGTCCAAACAAGCACCAATCTGAAGCAGAAAAGTTTCATAATGGGCGCCTTTTGGAGAGTGAGACATACATTGGTGGCCATGTGGAGTGTTTGGAAACTGGTGTTTTCAGATCCGACCTTCCAACTTCTTTCAAACTTGATTCATCTGCTTTCACTGTAATTTAGAACTTATTTATTGTATTTTAATTTTTACAGTTATTAATCACTTGGGCTGATAACTAAAAGATTTAAATTATATCTTTTTTCACAGCAACTTATCGACAACCTTGATCGGGATCTTCAATATGCTATTAAAGTGGAGGGTAAAATGGACATTGAAACAGTCTCAAATTACGATGAAGTAAAGGATGCTATTACAGAAAAGGTAATGTTAATAATTAATTGACAATTTTTTGTATTTTATTGGTGAATTAAAGTCTTTATGAAACATTTATTTCTGCAGCTTGCATCATTACGAGATGAACCTACACGAGAAGAATGTCCCCTTATTTATCATCTTGATGTTGCTGCTATGTATCCCAATATTATATTAACAAACAGACTTCAGGTATGCACATCAATCAGTTTTTTTAAAAATTAAGATAAAGGATAGGTTGCTAGCCTATTACTCACAATTTACCATTAAAAAAAGCTGGTATTTTACCTAACAAATACTTATGTGCCATGTCAGCCACCATCAATAGTTACAGATGAGGTGTGCACTGCATGTGATTTCAATCGCCCTGGGAAAACTTGTCTTAGGAAACTTGAATGGAAGTGGCGTGGAGAGACATACACAGCAAAGAGAAGGTACCTTATTTACGGATTTACCCCTCCATTGTAACTTAATTTACTAACAGCTATTTATTGATTTTAAAATTTGGGTATTAGTGATTACTATCATTTGAAGAGGCAAATTGAATCCGAAGTTGTTGCTGTTGATGGCTTCAAATCAAAGTCGTTCCTTGAGCTGCCTAAAGTGGACCAACAACTGAAGCTGAAAGATCGTTTAAAGAAATACTGCCAAAAGGTATATATAATTTTCCATATTATAAACTTTAAATTTTATGTGACATGACATGTCAGCATTCTTTATTATAACATTTTATGATGCGTGTTACAGGCGTATAAACGAGTGCTTGAGAAGCCACATACTGAAACTAGAGAAGCAGGGATTTGCATGCGTGAAAATGCATTTTATGTTGATACTGTCAGAAGGCAAGCATTTAACTAATTTTGCAAATTAGACTGATAATATAATTGTCTGTATTTGTTTTTATAACATGTTATTTTTGTGCTTTATAGTTTTCGTGATAGAAGATATGAATATAAAGGACTTAATAAATTATGGAAAGGGAAGTTGTCAGAAGCAAAAGCTAGTGGAAATCCTATTAAGATCCAGGAAGCACAAGTAATTTTATCTTCACTAAAACATCTTATACTGTAATAAGTAATAATAATTGTTAGTGTTTAGGGTTTTTATAGTTTTTTATTAATATTGCAGGATATGGTGGTTCTCTATGATTCTCTTCAGCTTGCTCATAAATGTATTTTGAATTCCTTCTATGGATATGTCATGCGCAAGTATGTTTTTTTACACTAAGTTTCAACTTGTACATAGGGATTTTATATTTTATTATTTAATATAAAAATAAAATGATATTGTTACAGAGGTGCAAGATGGTATTCAATGGAAATGGCTGGAGTTGTTACATATACTGGAGCAAAAATAATCCAGAATGCCCATGAACTTGTTAAAAAAATTGGAAAACCTCTAGAATTAGACACAGATGGTATCTGGTGTGTTTTGCCAGGGTCATTTCCGGAAAACTTTACCTTTAAATTTAGGTATCCTCTTTTTCATACCTAGTTAATTATTTGGAAAATGATCATCATGATTTGATGTTGACAGTTATGCCCTTTTATGAAAATTTGATCACAGAGACTCAAAGAAGAAGTTTACAATCTCATATCCATGTGTTATGCTCAATGTTGATGTGGCAAGAAACAACACAAATGACCAATACCAGGTTAGATAAAATATAAATCCTCTTTTTATATTTTATATAGCTTATTAGAAGTTAGAAATATATATTCTACAAACTACAAACATCTTATTTTTTTTTTCATCAGACTCTCAAAGATCCTATCAACAGAACATACACAACACACAGTGAATGTTCAATTGAATTTGAAGTGGATGGACCATATAAGGTAATTAGTTAAATCCTAAAAGTGACCTCATATTTTGACAATTATTAATTATTAATCATGATATTTATTGTGAATGTAGGCAATGATTCTTCCTGCTTCTAAAGAAGAGAATAAATTGATTAAAAAAAGGTATGCTGTTTTTAATGACGATGGTACCCTTGCTGAGCTTAAAGGTTTTGAGATAAAGAGAAGGGGTGAACTAAAGCTCATTAAAGTTTTCCAAGTACACTCTCTTTCTCTAACAAACTTGTTTGACTTTATGGTTTTTTAATACATTGACTTTCATGTATTTTATTCATAATTCTTGATATACTTTTCTTTTCAGGCTGAGCTCTTTGACAAATTTCTTCACGGGTCAACTTTAGAGGAATGCTATTCTGCAGTTGCTTCTGTTGCAAACCGCTGGCTTGATCTTCTTGATGTATGTAATTTGTAAACCAAACTTCATTTTTTCCATTTTTAGCGTTTACTTAATCTCCTTTGTTGAAAGTTTTCTACCATGTTTTTGTTATCTTTCCCATATTGGTAGCACGAGCAAAGTAAGTTGCTGAGTTTTTGCAATTTTCTGTATATTATTTTGGTCTTGTTACTAATTAGTATATATTTTCAGAATCAAGGGAATGATATTGCAGATAGTGAATTGCTTGATTACATATCAGAATCGAGCACAATGAGCAAGTCTTTAGTAGATTATGGAGTGCAGAAATCATGTGCTGTAACCACAGCAAAACGTTTGGCTGATTTTCTTGGTGATACCATGGTTAAAGACAAAGGACTTCGTTGCCAATATGTTGTTGCATGTGAACCAAAGGTAATTGTGTAATTTATCTTTTAAAAAAGCTTACTTACAGATATTTGATTTATGCATTCTACATCCATAATCATGCAACCGAAATAACGTTTACAGCTATTAGATTTGTAAATTTGATTTTATAAATAATGTGTAAAGGGCAAATTGCGAGAAGTGACAACATATTTTACTTATTATACCAATATAGGCAATGCACTTTAACTTTTTCTAATAATGGCAACATAATTACAGTGCTTAACATATAATAGCAAGGTATATACCTTTTTTTAACATTACTAACAATATTTAATCCATAATAGCAACATACTTACTATTTTGACCCTTATTAGTAGCATTTTTTTGAAGTTTCTATTATGGGTCATACTGTTATCATTGTTAAAAAATTGAAGTATGTTGCTATAATGGGTAAAAAACAAAAGTAAGTTGCTATTATGGGTAAAAAGTAAAGTACAATATCTTTATTGATAAAAAAAGTTAAAGTGCGTTGCTATTTACAGCAATTTGCCTATGTTTAAACGCGTAATAAGTATGGCACTCAATAATGTTTATGGTTTTTAGCATGTGTAAAGTTGAGATTATAATTAATGTTTAGAGCTTTAAGCATGTGTAAAGTTGATTTTCTACTCTTATTATTTTGTTTTAAATTTTCTACTATTGACATAAATTTTAATCTGTATGTCAACAGGGGACCCCGGTGAGTGAACGTGCAGTTCCTGTTGCAATATTTGAAACTGACCCAGGTAAAAAAACTCTACGCCTTTATGTTTACATTGTTTAAATAATTTAAACGTACAAAAACTTATATACATGCTTATTTATTTCTTTTTTGCAGAAATTATGAAGTTCTATGTGAAAAAGTGGTGTAAAATCTCATCAGATATTGGCATTCGGTCTATTATTGACTGGGAATATTACAAACAACGTCTTAGCTCTGCTATTCAAAAAACCATTACTATTCCTGCAGCAATGCAGAAGGTATAGCATTTTTAATAATCCCTTTATGGAGTAATAATATTCATAATTTTTTTATTCTCTACATATAGAGACCAATATCGGTTATACTTTATATATTAAAACTGTATTCACAGTGGAATATAATCATTTATGTCAGGTTTCAAATCCTGTTCCAAGAGTAGTTCATCCTCCATGGTTACACAAGAAGGTTCGTGAAAAGGATGACAAAATGAGGCAAAGAAAATTAAATGTCATGTTTAGTTCAATGAAAAAGGCCAATGAAGAGGAGGTGAGAAAGGACACAAATGGAAAAGAACATGTAATTCAAGAACAGGAAGCTGTGGACTTGGAGGATTTTGGGAGCAAAGGAAAATCTTCCAATTCTACCCCTAGACCTGTTGTTCGTTCTTATGAAACTAATGGTAAAACAAGTTCTTCCAAGGAAAAAGTTGACCATGGTCAAAGGACGAATCCAGTGGTTGATATCCCTGTGGAGGATAATATAGACAGACATGTGGATTACCAAGGATGGCTTAATCAAAGAAAAAGAAAATGGAAACAAGTTCGTGAAAAAAAGAAGAAACAAAAGTTGGACAGTTTGGACAAAAATACCCAAAGGAATGGAGTTACTGAGATCCGTAGTGGCGTGTCAAATAAAAAACAAGCTCAGGGTAGAACTGGGGTAAATTCGTACTTTGAAAGACATGAACTTGCCCTTACACGCAGCCATTGGCAGGTAATATATTCTTATCCATTTGGAATTGTATCCATTATATTTATACCCATTATGCCCCTGACTCTTTTGTAATTGTCGTTTTGGGCAGATAATTCAACTTGTTCCAAGTTCTGAACTTGGACAGTTTTTTGGTTGGGTTGTTGCGGATGGAAGGATGCATAAGATTGCTATAAAAGTTCCAAGAGTATTTTACCTTAATTCTAAAGCTCCTGTAACTGAAGACTTTCCTGGAAGACGTGTCAACAAGATTCTTCCTCATGGACACCATTCTCATAACCTCATTGAGGTAGGTCTATTGATATTACATTTAGAAACAAATTTTTTTTTCTCACCATTAAGTCCTGTATGGGTAATCATGTCTTTCTAGATAAAGTATAGACTGAACAAACGGTCTGAATGAAACAAAATGACCTTTTTACCCTTACATTTGAAATAACAAAAATCGTAATGAGGTTAATAATAAGTACACTTTATATAGGTCATAGTTGATGAAGATCAGTTTAAGACAGAAAGCAGGAAACTTGCTGCTCACCTAGCAGATCCTGAAGTGGAGGTGAGTTTATTTTCATATTTGTTTTTATAATCATTCAGTTATAACTTATTTAGGTTATCTGATTATTCAATTACTTGTTAAGCTTACTTTATCGTATATACTTTTTCAGGGGATATATGAAACAAAAGTCGGGTTGGATTTCAGTTCAATTCTCCAAATTGGATGTGTTTGCAAAGTGGATAAATCAGCTAAAAAACGAAATGCAAAAGAGGGTTGGAATCTGAGTGAATTGCATATGAAAACCACTACAGAGTGCTCTTATCTTGAATCTCCAATTCCTTTCTTCTACTTATATCATAGGTAACTTTCAGTTTTCTGTTATACATCGGGTACTTTAAAAAAAGGGTGAAAATTAATTTTCTTTTGTATATATTTATCATTTCAGCATATCTGAAGTAAGGGGAATCTATGTTGTATACTTTCCTTCATCTTCAGTCATCCATGCAGTAATTGTCAACCCCTTCCAGAATAAAGAATTAACTCCCAATATTTTAGATAAACAGTTTCGTGATGCTTGCCAAGCTTTATCAGTTGAATCTTCCATGTCCAGAGGTTCCTCCAATTTTAAGGTGAGGTTTAACTTTTTTAAACTCAAAATTTCATTTTGAAGTAAATCTTAATTTTTTAAGTGGAAACTATCAGGTGGAGTATGTTGGAACCCCTAAAGATGCTGAAAGGATCTTTCAAAGAACCATAAGTGAATTTAGGTATTACATTGAGATTATAAAAATTATACTAAACATAAATAAAGAAAGAGTAACATAAACTTTTAACTTTTTTTTTACAGAGATGAGCTTCATGGACCTGCAATTGGTGTAATCGAATGCCCAGATGTTAAGTTAATGAAGTTGAATATAAGAGCTTTGGATGATTTTCCATGTGTTTCTATTCCTTCAAATGCTCGTGATTGTCACTATCCAACTCTTTCTTGGCAAGCTTTTGCTGCAAAAATTGGGATGCAACGTTGTGCTGCATCACCTCGCTGGTTGAATGAAAGAATCTCTCTTTCCAGATACTCCCATGTAAGATTATTTATATATTAATATATCTGATTCATTTCTAGATATAATTTTCATTTCCTTCTTTCTCATTTATAAGTTTATAATTGTTCAATTTCGACAGATTCCATTAGGCAACTTTGAACTGGATTGGCTTATACACACTGCAGATATCTTCTTTGCAAGAGCTTTACGTGATCACCAACAGGTTGTCTTTGGTTTACTATTATACATTGCCCTTTTTATGCATAATAGCAATCTACTTTCATTCCCTTACACCGAAAAGCAACGTGCTTCAATTTCTTTTATTGATAATAGCAATAATAGCAATGTACTTGCAATCTTCTGTACACATAATAGCAACATGCTTACAAATCCTTAACCACAAATGATAATACTATTAGATCCATTAATTTACCTCAAGTTTTTTATAACATATGCAGATACTTTGGGTATCAGATAATGGATTTCCAGATCTTGGAGGGGATACTGAAGAAGAAACTTGTTACTCTGATGAGGTCAGTATCAAGAACTACATTAACTTTTAAGTGAATTTAATAAATATCTAGCATTTTATGTGGTTCTTTAATGATCTAATTCACATCTCTTTTGAAAAATAGGTCAATCAACCTGTTCTTACTTACCCAGGTGCTTATAGGAAAGTCACAGTTGAGCTAAAGGTATGCAATTTTCTTTTCTACAAAATGTCACTCTTAAAGCTAAATTACTACACTCAAATCTTGTAATTTATATTTGTAATTGATACAGATTCATCATCTGGCTGTCAATGCTCTGTTAAAAAGCAACCAAATAAATGAAATGGAGGGAGGTACCTTATTTGGGTTTGACCATGATTTGACCTCTGGATCACATCTTCCCAATGAACAATTAGGGTTAGATGAGGCCACATCATGTTCATCTGCATTTCGTGTCCTCAAACAATTGATTCAAAGATGTCTTGCTGATGCTGTTTCATCAGGAAATATATTTGCTGATGCAATGTTGCAACATTTATACAGATGGCTCTGCAGGTACTTTTTTTATTTAATCTTTCTAAAAATTCATGTTTTGTATATCTATTCAAGTTTTGACACTTTTTGACTTGTGTAAATAGCCCAAGGTCAGCTCTTCATGATCCAGCTCTTCATCGAATGCTTCACAAGGTATTATTTAATCTGAAAAAAAAAGTTAAGTTGAAGAAAAATGTGAAAGATAGTGTATTTGACAAGGGTATGATTATTGATTATGAACATACAGGTTATGCAAAAGGTGTTTGCACTACTGCTGTCTGAATTTAGAAAGTTGGGTGCCACCATTATATTTGCTAACTTCTCAAAAGTCATACTTGATACTGGAAAGTCAGACTTATTTGCAGCCCAAGCTTACTGTGATAGTCTACTCAAAGCTTTACAAGAAAGGTTGTTCTCTTATCCAAGAAATACCAAAACCTACTTAAACTCTACAAACATTTCCTTTTATTTTTTCTTTGTATTCTCTGATCTCCAAATTTAATGGTTTTCTAGAGACTTATTTGAGTGGATTGAGCTTGAACCCATGCAATTCTGGCACTCACTTCTATTCATGGATCAGGTTAGTTACTTCATAGTTATTTTTATATTGTTTTTATTCTAACAAAGCTTTTGTCTCTGATGCTTGTTTTTGCTATTTTATGATAGTACAACTATGGTGGACTTCAGGCTAAATTAGATCAAACAGACGATAACACATATGATGAGCCTCAAGTGGAATTAGTCTCCAGTTGGAATATAGCAGAAAACCTCCCCAAGGAGACTCAGGTCATATAATTTACAATTTTACCCCTTCCATGTATTATTATACATAACTGTCATCTGATACCAGTTAGATTCTTTTTTTTTATTTTACAGGATCATTTCGTTTTTATAGTCACTGAGTTCATGCACCTCCCATGGAAGTTTACACAAGATGAAACCATGAAAAGAGCAGCTATAAGAAACAGTGACTCCTGCACTCCATCAATCACAGCTGCTGCTGCTGAATCATTCGAGTCATGCATCACTGAACATCTTAGGGAACAGGTTCGAATTACAAATTATTATTAATTTTTTTATATATTCTTGCAAAATCCGGATATTTTGTTTTGGTTTAATTGTGAAGTCATTTTTTTGTTACAGGTTAATTCTTACTTCACGGATAAACTATTGAAAATAGTTCGTGATCTTGTTCTTCACACGAAAGGGAAAGGGAAATCTAAGCAAGATGAAGACAATGTTTATAAAGGGGATCCTGCACTTGAGTTTATTAAGCATGTCTGTGCTGTTCTTGTTCTTGACCAGAATGTGCAGCATGATATTCTGGTAATAACTAAATTCTTTTGTCTTTATTTATTTACTTTATGTTTTTTGATTTTGATTTTTTTGTTTTTGAAATAAAATGCAGATAATGAGGAAGAACCTGTTGAAATATGTACGTGTAAGGGAGTTTGCTCCAGAGGCACAGTTTCAAGACTGTTCCTTTTCCTTCACTTTACCAAATGTCATTTGCAGGTAAAAATAATAATAAAAATAAAAATACAAAATTTCTAAACTCTAATCATATTTCTGACATGGGCCCACAAATATAATATTTACAGCTACTGCAACGACTGTAGAGATCTAGATTTATGTCGTGACAGAGGCTTGCTAACTCAAGAATGGAGATGTGGGGTCCCACAGTGTGGTCAACCCTACAACCGTGAAGTCATGGAAAATGCTCTTCTTCAGATAGTTCGACAGAGAGAACGACTTTATCATCTTCAAGATTTGGTCTGTTTAAAATGCAAGCAAATCAAAGCTGCACACCTGGCAGAATATTGTGGGTGTGCGGGCTCCTTTTGTCTCAAAGAGGAAGTCACTGTTTTCATGAAGAAGATGGAAGTCTTCTTCAACATTGGCATACACCAAAAGTTTGAGCTGCTTGTCGAATGTGTGTCATGGATTTTGGAGCTAAAACAGGTTTAGTTGAACTGAATTGATTATTATTTTTAGATAGATACGCATAAATGGTTGAGAAAGATGTTTGGGAATTTGGTTATAGAGTTGATGAAGTTTCTGATGTATTTATGTTTGTGTATATGTATATCATAGTTATGATTTTGGATGTTTATCTATTCATGAAAATGTAGCATTAAAAACTGAAGTTGTCAAGATTGAGAAGTTCGTTTGTAGGCTGGTAATACAAACACTTTTGTAAAAGATTTAAACTTCTAAACATTATGAGTCCAAGTTTCTAACATTAGTGAGTACAAACATGTAACTCAAAAAAAGTCTCCAACTATATGGACTAGTCATTAAGTTAGAAACATGAGTTATAAGTTTAAAAAGAAACCAAAACATTACACTATCTAGTCTAATTATGATGAATGGTATATTGATATTATTCCTACTATTCTTCTGTGTTCTATCCATATTAAATGGTGACAAGTAGACTAAAATATTATCAATTTCATTAAATGTGATACATGTCAACATTTGATATGGTAGCAAGATAAATAGAAATAAAATGTAGAGGATATTTAATTTCTCATTGTAAAATCAATTTTTTATGAATATCTTCCACCGGCATGCAAAGGAAGCAAATTATAACATACGGTCGTCAAATAATATAACTAAATAATTGAAATAATATAACTAAATAATTGGATAAGACTGATAGGTTTTAAACAAATAAACAGCAAACAATTTATTAATTATTATTATTTTTAAACGGCAAACATACACATACACGTACATCCTAATATATATATATATATATATATATATATATATAGATAGAGGCTTAAGTATTATATATTCTAACTAATTATTGTGCAGATATCGTATGCTATGAGAATTACTAAGAGAATAAGTTGTTTAGCAATGCGAATACGTTCAATCTTACATAACTATTGTTATTAACACACATTCTCACTAATTAAATCGTCTATAAGGTTATTATACACTTATTATTATTATTTTCATTTCTGTCAGAATGTTTATTGAGTCGTATTCTGTCAGAATGAAAATGAGTGAAAAACGATGTGTGAGAACAAAAATAAATAAAAATTAGCTAGAATGCATGAAAATAACGATATTTTTGTAAGGTTGAACGTATTCGCATTACTAAACAACTTATTCTTTTAGTAATTCTCATATCATACGCTATCCACACAATAATCAGTTAGAATAGTTAAACGTAGTTATATATATATATATATATATATATATATATATATATATATATATATAGGCTTAGGTTATTTTGTTTTTAGTAACTATTGTGTGCCAGAATGCACAGATCTGGACCAACGGATGAAATTAATCAATGTATATGATTTGAGGGTGTATGATATTACAATGGGATACCATGTACCATATAATCACACAAATTTTAGCAAAAGGGTATTTTGGACAATTAACTACATTTATAAAAGGAAATTTTTGGATATTTATGGATAATTAATTCTCCTAATTTTAAAATTCTGAATTTTTTTAATTAATTCAATTTTAATTCTAACGTAATTTGTATACATAACCGATTTTATTCTGCCAGAATATTTTTTTGTTAGAATGATGTTCTTTCAAAATTTAATCTATTAGAATATTATTGAAGAATAACAACATTCTTGAATCCGAGGTTAAAAAATAACAACATTCTAATATATTCTTATACATCCGAACTTAAATACAAATTCATACATATTCTTACAGATTAAAAGCCTTATACATTTTAATATAAGTATACATATTCTAAAAGAATATCAACAAAAATGAATAAAATTCTAAAAAAATAACAACATTCTAAAATTGTGAGTATGATCAAACGTTATTCATTCTTCAAGTTATTCCTATTAGGTCTTCAACGCATTCTTCCAGCCATTCCTATCACAAATACAACAACAACTAATAATGGTTAAAAACATGTTACTTGCAATTAACTATCACTTTATATATTCTGGTAGAATACATAGAATATGACAGAATACATAGATTTTATTCTGGCAGAATATATTCTGACAGAATAGAATGTAATCCTAAAACTACAATGAAAGATATGAGATTTTATAGACATTTCATCGAACATTTAGAGGACAAAAAAATTATGTAAAATCTCAAGAAATACATATATTAGCAAATAACTTCAACCATGTGATGTTGTTAGTTCATAAATTGCCACAACAAAGTAAAAGGCAATTCAAAGAATAAAATTAAATTGTATAAACAAAGAGGTAAGGTAGCAATTAAAACCTATATCATGTTGAATAAACTAAATTTACTATGGTTGATAAACAAACCAACTAGCTACAATTTCGAGATTCAAAAACAAATATTCATACTATTCATTTTTCATAGATAATACAAAACTTAGATTACAACTAAAAAATAAATAGTCGACAATGAAAAAGAAAAATAAAATTAATAGCAAAAAAAGTTTATGAGTAGAATGGTGAAATTGAAGTCAAAGATAGAATATTGGAATGTAAAATTAACACTAGCAAGTTAGCACTAAAATCATTCCAAAAAAAGTAACAGTAGAATGTTAGCACTAAATCATTCCAATTTCAAGCACAAACGTTCCCAATATGTCAATGACAACTAAAAGAAAGTAGAAGAATTTTACAAAAACATTCATTACCGCATCCAGCTGGAGGTCCTGGTTTTGCTTACTCTCATTTACGATAGTCCTATATTAGAACCATAAGTCGCCAAAATTGTCCATAATATTGTGGTAGCTATCCTTGCGTTCGGAACTGTCGGTTCTGATCAAAATCTGGTTGTTGGCGTTGATTGTAAACATGAGATGCCCTGAATAGTTAAAACCATGGATTAGTAAAGGATTTAGAAACAGGGATAATTCTGTCAATCTTTGTAACTTCCGAGGGCTGAAATTGTAAATGGAGTCATCTTCTTCATTTAATCTGATAACACGTAGTTGACTTGTAAAAGTCAAAATCAAGTTTGCCATCGAATCAACACTGCCTAGCGTTCCGATGACATCCAAATTCTGAACGATTCGATGAGATTGTTCTGATTTCGAATCGTTTATGAATTTCAAAGCGATTTCAATTTTGAGATTCAAAAATTGATTGTGAGACGAAAAACCCGAGCCTTGAACACCAAACGCATATCTCCGATTTTGATTCGAAGGATTTTAAGTTCTGATTCCAAAACTCTGAATGTGAATCGGTTGTAACATACGAGCCTACATCACCGAATGCTTGCAAGCTCCGATTCCAATTTCAGTTTCGTTTTTGCTTCTGAATGATTACTGTTTTCAAATTCCGATTCCAGAACTTCCAAATCGATTTCAATATTGAGACTGAAACTCTTAACGATTTGATTAACCTGTGACTTCCGATTCTGAATCCTTCAACGTCGATTTCAAATAATCAATGGATTTCAAATATTGAGACTGAAACTCTTAACGATCTGATTAACCTGTGACTTCCGATTCTGAATCCTTGAACGTCGATTTCAAATAATCAATGGATTTCACAGATGAGAAAAGAAGCAATAAAATCGATTTCAACAAATCAATTTTTGTGAAGAAAGAAATCGATTTCAACAACTGATAGAATCTAAAAAAATAAAATTTTGAGAAAAAAGAAAATCGATTTCATCGGTGGTAATGGAGGAACTCACGACACTGATGGAGGCGGGAGGTGGAAGTATCGGTGGACACCTAGATTTAGACACCGTGCGCCTGTCGCCAATTTTCACGTTTCAGGATTTTTTGCTATAATTTTGATTTTAGGGTTTATCTTTAGTTTTAAATATTATTTTAATATTTTAAAATTGGATAATTAAACTGAAAGATAAATATGCCTAAAGAATCTTATTAATTATAAATAATCATTTAAAATTAATTAAAGATAATTCATTTAAATCATATAATTTTATATTATTTAAAACTCACCTCACATATAACTATAAAATTTTATAAAGGAATATGAATTTATATATGTAATATGATTACTATATTTAAAAGAAAATAATACAACATGTGTCCTCATGTTTAATTAATGATCATTAGTCGAATTAAGAATATGTCTCATTCATGAAACCATATTATAAGAGAAGTATAAGGAAACGACCTATAAAGTGACTATTAAATAAGTGTCTTTTTCACTCACCGCTTCTTTGTGTGGTGGATTGTCGTTAGCCGAAAGAGTTTGATAGACCGATGCCTCGTTAAAATAAAACATACTAATTAGTCAAAAATAATAAAGCTCTAAAAATATAGTTAATGAATTAAAATGGATCATTATCGAATATTAGAGATTAATACACAACACAAAACTCAAAAAAAAGGAAAAAACATTTAATGGAATAAAATTGTTCATAATATATATTGACCCCAAAAGCTACCATCTAATAGTAAGAAACATTTTATGAGATTGATTCTAAATAATTACCATCTCAAAAAACCTCCATATTAGATGCTTTAATAATTTTTCATCAAACCATCGTCAACAAACAAATACATCCACTTAATGCTTAGGAGAAATGGAGAGTATATATGTTGAGTGAAAAAGGACCATTAGAAAAACTTATATGAATTTAATTTTATGTGCAATAAGTTATTAACATTTTATAACACCAGATTTAAAATTTGTTTGAGCAAGGGTCCCAACGACATTGAAACCCCATGACAAACACAGTCTCAAAACAAGTATGAAAGGAGGCTCATAAACTAACATAGGAAAGCAAATAAACATGGACAAAATCTACATATTAAGTTCTAAATATTATGACAAATCTTTATGAACTTGTCTGGACGTCTGGTTACTTGCAGAACATAAATGCTTGTCAAGGAAAAGGGTGCTTTAAGTAAGAATGCCACTTATCAATAAAAGCCAAGTCCTTTGGATTCAAACTTGGAAGTTCACGATCTTGAAGGCTGTTGATTATCTTTGTAGTCTCACCAAGAAGTTGAGCAGCAGCTTGGACACTCGCCTCCCTTTTCTCTATGGCACTTGTGTGGCATTTCATTGTAATGACTTGGGGTAAGTTGGTGAGACATGCAGCCAATATGTCAGCAATCATTGATGATAACTGTGCAAATAGTTCCTCTTGG